ACAGAAAACTCTAAGATAAGCTTATATTTTTAAAAAAAAGAGTAAGTAATATTTTTTATCTACAAATCATACACAATTATCATTTCTTTACACGTTAAGTGAAAAATTTCTCGGATAAAATTGAAAATAAACCAACTAATCAACTTTCTAACATCACTTAATTATTTACGAGTACTCAATTTTGCAATTATTTTGAATTTCAAACTCGTTTTCAAATTAACTAAAATATATATTCTAATGTATAATATAATTATACCTGTCATTATATATTATTAGTTATTAATATGCATAAATCTTTAGATTCAATTAATACTGAATTCGTTTTGGTGCTTGATAACCTTTTATTCATAGACTTTTTCAGGTGCAGAAAACAGAAATAAATATTAATTTATTACATTTACATTGTACGCAGTGAAAAATGGATTAAATTTTACAAGCAAACTAGAAAATAAATATAGCAAAAAAATATTATTCAAAGAGCTGCTAATTTTTCTTCATCTACCATTAAGTGGACATTGTCCTAGCACCGGCGGATTCCATACTCCATTGGTGCAAACTGAAAGCGTCGCTCCAATTGGTGTACTTCCAAAATTACAAATCAAACTTGCTGTAGTTCCACTATCATAAGGTGCTAATACACTTCCCTGAATTTACCTTCATTTATTCATACTAATTAACGTACTAATTAATAATTAATAAATAGAATTATTGCTGAAAAATCTCTTTCTGCATTGTACTAATTATCTCAATATTATTTTATTAAATATCTTCCACATAACACAATAATTATTGTACAAGCTACTATACAGTATACCCAATCAAGCTATTTTTTAATTAAAAAATTTTCCATTTTGTTTTTTTCAAATTTGTAAAAAACAAATAATGCAGCATTGCGCTTTGAAATTTCAAAGCTAACAAATAAAAATAATAATTTAAGTAATAGTTTGGTATTGAAAATAGTACTATGAAAAATGCTAATTTTGTTTGATAAATAAAATAAGCGTAGATGGAAAATGAAAGAGGCAATATACGGTGGATGATACCCATTTTGACAAGAAAGTTATTGAGGGAAGTAAAAAAGTAATCAGACTTAATTTACTTTCTTTAATAATAAAATACAATGCATAATCAGTGACATCCTTTGAGATGACAAAAATGCATTTAAATTCTAAATTAAAAACAATTTAGTTAGGAGTACATTATGGAGTAATTTCTACAACAATCAATACAGCATAAAGAAACACTGTGATAAAGTAATGTACAATAATTAATACAGTGAAGAGAAAGACTTTGATATGTTATAAAAAATTAATACTGCTAAAAATCACAAAAATATTATAAAAAATCAATACTGTAGTAATGTATTGAAAGATATTTCAGTTAATAATTTCATCTACAAAAAATTACAGAGTCAATAATTTTGCAAACAAAATTGCTGAGATTTAAATTTGAAAAAAAGCTAAAAATGTTTTTAAGTTAAATAAAACGTGGCTTATGCGGTTAGCTAAGTAATTAATGAAGTGATTTAGCAAGTCATCTTCAACTGTTTATCAGGCAAATGCAAATATTAGATGAGAGATTAGAGGAAGTTTTTTTTTTTCATTTTTGTGATTTTTTAAAATTTACTTCTAAATGTTTGCTTATTGCTTCTAAGGAAGTAATTTCTAGGCTAATAAAACAGCGATACAATCTAATATCTCTTATCAGTACTCTTTGATTTCCTTCTCTTTGCACATTCGAAGAGGAAGTGTCAAAAATTAATGCACAATTAATTTAAATAATTGAAAATGATGAAGTGTAAAGAATTGCCTAACTTTTTCTACTTGTAAACGAAAGTTTTTCACAGCTGACAATATCTCAACGGTAAACAAAGTAGTACTTAAAAAACGGCTGTAGTAATGTATTGAGAGGATTCAAGATGGATGATGACACACAAAGATGTCAGTGTGTGTAGAATTTTTTTTTTACAAATCTCATTCGAATTCTTTTCTTTTCAATTTCAATGTAAATATTTGTAGAAAAAAAGTTTGAAAAAAATTACTTTTAAAAAAATACTAATGACAAATGTGATTTATTTTGATTTTACTTACGGTAGAATATTGAATTCGTCCATTTGCTACGACAGGTAGTTCGAATAAGCACTGAGTTGTAGCAGATAGTAACCCCGTGCTTAATCCAAAAATACTCTGTTGACAGTAACCTAATGTTGGTATCCATTGTCCTAAAAAATAAACAAAACTTTCAGAAACCTAAAAGCTTCAGCTTAAAGTCGATAGTTATTATTATAATTTTGTCAATTGAAATAAACTAATTATCTAAAAAACGACTAATCAATTTTCCACTTTTTGTTTTTCAAATTTACAACTGTCATTAAAATACACGGTTTTGGGAAGAAAGTGAAATCAAAAAATCATATTAAACAAGAAAGATGTTTATCAAAAGTGGCACATTTTTTACCATTTTTACAAATGGTTTCTGTTGGCCCGCTAGGAATAAATCCAAGATTACAGATTAATGTAGCAGTAGATCCAGAATTATATATAGCTCCTGCAACGCCTGAATATGTTAATACACCATTTGGAGGTTCTGGTAGAGGTGCACAAGGCATTTCTCCAAGTCCTATCAAACCTAAAAACTTTGCTCTGAATTTTTTATTATTTGCAAGATCCATAAGATGTGCTATTATGTTATGTGTTGAGTTCTGTGTTATTGGTAGATTATTAAGCATGCATATTCCACATAATGTAAATAAAGTATCATTAGAATGTCATATTACTTGTTTTTTAGATAGAACAAATAAATATCTTGCCGTCAGTACTAGCTGCTAAACACTGCGTTAGAACTGGAGGAATGAAAGTGCCATCAGTACATGCCGCTGTTGTTGTACCAACAGTTGTATAATCTGGATTACAAAATACTGTGGCTATTGTACCGGAAGGAAATGGTCCCAACTCCAATCCATTTGAATACGATATTTGACCGTTAACAGGTGGTACGAGTGGAGCACAAGGCAGTCCGAGAATTCCTGTGGTGCTTCCGAGAGGTGCACCTAATACTTTTTAATTACTTAATCATACAATATAATCATATGCTATACCAAAAATACCCTAAATTGTCTTTGCAAATTAAAAAAATCATATTAGAAAGCTTTTTATTGCATTCACTCAATTTTAAATTGCGTCAAAAAAAGACTAAAAATAATGCAAGAAGAAATATTTTACCAAGGATTCTCGATGAAGGAAGAATACATTGTCCATTCATTGGTGGTGACCATATGCCACTCAAGCAAGTCGATGAAGTTACACCAGCTGGAATAAATCCGGCTTGGCAAGTCAACTTACCAACAGTTCCTGTAGGAAATGGTCCGAAAGTTGAACCTGTACTGTAAGTAACATATCCATTTACCGGAGTAACCAAGCTAGCACTACAAGGTAAGTCGAGAACACCACCTGCTAAAGGTGTCACTTCTAACGATGTAACAAACGGACTCAAAACAGTACCATGAGCACCAGAACCAGCTGCAAAACAAGTTGTGAAGAAATCTTCGAAAATATTCTTCATCATAAATATTCTAAACTATTCTGCATTTATAATCTTTCAAGAATATATTAAACATAACTGAGTAGCACAGCTGAAAAAAGAAATAATTATGAATAATTATTTATTAGTAGTGAATTAATTCAAATAAGTGAGCATATCAAGGAATAAAAATATTATTAAAGATGCAATTTTTAGGAGCTAATTATAAACGAGCAATCAAAAATTGGATTAGAAATAATAAATGTTTACGGAGTAGCTCAAAAATTACTTGTTTTCTTAGACTGTATACATTTGGTAGGTACTTCAGGGATCCATGTACCATTTTGACATATAGCTAGGGCAGTACCCGTAGGGATGTAACCTGGACTACAACGGATATTTGCTCTAACTAAAGGTGGATAAGGTGGACGTACTGCACCGTTTGAATAAACAACAATACCATTGCTTGGAGACGGATAGTCACTTAAGCAACTGTTCAGGTTGGCGCTGACACCTGAAATGCCAAATCTTCTTCAAATGTGCTCAAGAATCTTCCATAACAAACAAAAATCATAAATACGTACATTAATACATTTTCAACTTATTGAATTGACATCTCTTTATCTTCTTGCTAAAAATTTTTGGAAATTACAAAAAACTTCCAATTATGCTACTAAATTATTATAAAATAAGAACAAGTTATTTATTTATTAAATTTGTAAATCCCTGAGATCTGACTTACTCGCAACTTTTTATCTTCTTATAACAAACTAAAAGAATTAGGTTTTTAAATTTTTCCAAAATAAAATTTTAACACATATATGGCGATTTAAAGTTATAAAAACACAACACAATATGTAAAAGAAAATGGACTATTGGTAGTGCTAAGAGCATTTTGGAGAATCAGCGGTGAACAAGTGCCCATTTCATGAGGAATCCATGAACCGTTGTCACAAACTGCTAATGTTGGTCCTTCCGGAAAGCCTTGAATACAATCTAACGTAGCTGTGGTTCCGGATGGAAATGACCCAAATGTTCCACCTGTTCAAGCAATCGAGAATGAATCTGTATTATGACTATGTTTGGTTTTCAAAGCACTGAAAGGTTTAAAAAGTCAAAAAATTACTCTAAATTTAATACTTGAAGAAATTTGCAATCGTGTAAATATTGTCTTCAAACCTCTGCTATAAGTAATCATTCCAGCAAGTGGAGTTCTTAGCATAAATGGGCAAGGATTTCCATTCCGAACAGGTACAATACCTGGTACAGCAACACATGTTCCCAAGTTTGGTGGTTGCCACATTGAGTCTTCACATGTTGACAAAAATGCACCTTAATTATAATTATTATAGAAGGTATTTTGCTTACTAAAAATTAATTTCTGCAAAAAAAAAAGCTGTGTTATCACTTTTGGTATTCAGCTTCAAAATAGAAACTATGGCTTATAAATTTTAGATATTTCTTATGCTTACAGTAACAGTAATATTTAAAAAAATGTGAACATACCATTGATAGTATAACCAGTATTACAGCGTACCACAGCGACAGTGCCTGAAACATATGTGCCAAGTGTGTTTGGCTCATTTGAAAAAGATATTTGACCATTTAAAACAAGCGGAAGCGCAGGAGGACATGGCCTTGTACCCTAAAGCACAACAAACAATTGCATTCACAATAATTAGAAGTGCTGCAAAACAAATTATTACTATAAAAAATACACAAATATAATTGAGCATATAAAGCATAGTAATAAAAAAAGTGAAAAAAATTTATTCACTTGTCTTTTTCCTCTTTGCGCACTTCGCCTCAAATCCTGGAAAGAGGTATAATTTAATTACAATATTATTTCACTGGATTTATTAACAATTGAATATGTAATGCTAATTTTCAAAGTATTGCTCGTTAACTTTTATTCTTCGCTAATATTATTTGATGTTATTATACAGATGAAAAAGTACCTTTACACAAGTTCCGAGATTCTGGGCAGGAGTCCAACCAGATGGCTCACATATCAGTGCATCAACGCCATCAATAATGTATTCAGGATAACATTCCAGTTCAGCTACAGTTCCCAAAGTTATATTATCTTTACTACCCATCACGTACTTCACCTCCAAAATACCAACTTACTATATATGTTCGTTTTGCATTTTTATCAACTTAGCGATGATTTTTTGATAATTTTTTCAGCTACCTACGAATTAGTAGTAAAAAGTGAAACTAGTTTATTTGGGATTTAAACTAAAAAACCAAATATGATCAAATAGAAAAAGGTTCCAAATTTTTTCCATTTTCGTGTACCGTTATGATAGAATAGAAAAACTGTGCCTTCACTGATGCTTTGTAAACAAAAAAAATAAATTCTTTAAATGTTCTAATACTGTTTTCAAGTTAATTGCAGATAAAATATCGATAATTATTAATTTTATATGTAACAGCAAGTCTTTGAAAAGAAAATGCAAACACAGCTTAGTATTATTTTAGTTTATTAAAATTAACGCTCCGTAATTTTTAACATATCTGAGCAAAAAATTATAGCCAGATAAACCTCGCCATTTTGAGATGTTGATAAAGTAGGACAAGTGGTTTTAGTGATAAGCTGACAGGTTCCAAGTTCTCGAGTTGACCACTGACCTCGAACACATCGGGCTTGCCTGGTAGATATGGAACGGTAATGTCCGTTGCAAATGAGATAAGCCAAAGTACCACTTGGAAAGGTATTTGTACCATGTTGACTATACAAAATATGACCATTTTCATGTGCTGGTAAAGGAGAACAGCCATCTGTATGAAAAAATGGTTTTTTATTCATTAAATCATTAAAATTTTTGCATATCTATCAGAGTAATGTTTGACTACAGTTACAGTGAAAGCTGATTCATTTGAAATAGAAATTAATATGAAATGAATTCGAACAAATAATTAATGCAACACTGAAAATTGGCAAGTTTTACAACAACTTTTCTTCTAAAATACAGTAGGAAAAAACTCGCCTATATAAGAATTAGGTATGCATTCACCAAGCATTTCCATGGGATACCATGAACCAGTAATGCACACGATCTTACTATTAATAGACGGTTTAAAACCGTCGTTGCAACTAAGTGTTGCTACACTACCCATTGCAAATAGTGTAGAACTTGCTGGCTTATAAATCAACTAAAACTTTTATTATTTAAAATTTAACTCAAAATTAAAAAATAGTGAATTTATAAAAATTTAATTTTTTATTTTTTTATTATTAAATGTAAATTTTGAAAAATAGCTTTTATAAAAGTAACCAAATTATACGTAATTTTTTTTTTGAACAAAATATGGAGAGTATAATTTACCTTTCCATTTGGTACAGGCGGAATTGGCCCACAATCGGTAGAATTAGAAAAAATACTATTGGTTAGAGTAAAATCCTCGTTCACGGTCTTACTATCATCTTTCCATCCATAGCAAATTGGATTAAGTTCTCTTACGTATCCCTCGAAAAGGGAATCTGCACGGAAAGAGTAAGCATACCCTTCAAATAGACTCTTTGTAAGTGTGCAAAAATAATTGAATATAACTAAAAACTAAAACTTAAATTTGAAACTAAGAACTGTATTGACATTCTGATGATGAAAATAATGCAAGTATTTACTACTCATTAATTGAGTTTCGTTTTTATGACGATAAATTGGTGCAAAAGCACCACAATCTCCTACTGATCGAGCACAGTAATACCCTTGAGGTCCACTAACATCAACATATCCCGCTGGTGTACTGCCAACATTTTCTTGATGAAGTACCATTCCTGTATCTGTGTTATGTTAGAGATTCAAACGTATCAGTAAACCGAAATGTTGTAAAATTTTAAAAACTCGAGTAATAATTTAAGCAAAAATTAATTAAAAATTAGTAATTAATACTGAAGCTTTTTCTTTTCACTTTGCAAAAATATATCACAATTTTCCTTTGTGCTTTTTTCTAATCTCAAATCTATGTTTCATTAGTGAAGTAAAAAGAATGCCTGTATGAAAAAAGTGATTATAACAATTAACCATCGGTAGATCGTAAATTTGTAGATAATTTAAGGGTACAGTGTATCGGGCATGCTGTTGGTATACCACTGTTCAAAAATATTTCGTCCGAATCCAAATTAGACGAATATTCTTGTTTTAATTGATGGCTGCCAATTCGATAAATTTTCGAATGCATGTTTATATTTTTAGTCCAAATCATTACTGGTGCTGAATAATTTGCATTTTATTACTTCTACAAAAATTGTACCAAATTTTATTATTTATTTCAAATTCAATCTAACTTATACTTTTTTAAAATGATTGATTTGTGACCAGCGAAAATCAGTCAAGCCTTAATGTTCATTTTTGTAGAAAGAATATGAAAAAAAAGGAAAAAACTTAATATTAACTAAGCTATGAAAATTAGTAAACAAAAATTTACTAATAATAACTCAAATGCAAAGAAAAAAAAGTTGTATTGTTTTTATCTTTGAAAATTAAGCCTTAATTTTTCAGCAAGTATCACCATTACTAGAAATACAGTAATTTAACGTTGCTAATCACAGAAAAAAAGTCCCCAACTGCACATTGCATTGCGTACCGAGGTTGTTTGGGTGACCTCCTGCTGGACACGTAATTGACTGCAAACTTAGTTCTTTGATTGAATATACAAAAATTATGCAAAAGATCCATGGATGGTTATAATTCGTCATAACAAAGCTGAATAAATTCTTTGATTGACTTAGTTCAATTCCATCCGAGCATTTCACTTGTAAAATGCTTACAGCTGTAAATAAATCAAATCGAACGAATGTTTTAGTTAAAACAAATTTGACACTCAAACAGTTTAAGCATCAAAGTGATAAAAATGAATTGAATTCACTGAAAGTCAATGTGAATCTAAAATAGAATGCTAAGTTTTCCCTACAAAATTATTCAATTTAGTAAGTGTAAAATTGGATAATTTTGTAGGGAAACTGTCTAAATCCGCAAAAATAAATTTGCAGACAACTTTTAAAAGAAGACACTTCCAAATATTTCTCATACTTTTAATTACTTGTAATTTATTCTATCAAATCTAAGTTAGACTGAATTTGAAATAATAAGTTCATTTGCTATTAAATTAATGATTTGACCAAATATAGTAAAGTTTATGCACATCAATCAAAAAAAAGATCTGCTATAATAATAACTGGCACTTACTTAATTATATTTGAAATGGTAACAATCAATTGATAATTAGCGTTAAAAGCGAAAATTCGCAACAAGATTTTTTAATTAAAATAGTGTAAGGGTTTCGCTATTTCTTGGCTAAAATAAAATGCATGCAAAAGTAATAAATTATGATAATTTATTACGTAATTACGTGATTGCATCAATGTCAAGCATAATTCAAAGCAAAAAAAAATTGAATACGAAGAAAAAATATACGCAAAAATAAGACAATTGCAAATTCATTATAACAAAGTAATAACAATGTGTGATAGCAATCAAAACATCTTTTTTCTACTTTGCAATTTTGATTTTAAATATGAG